CACAACTGCCAAGTATACTCAATTTTTCAAATAAACCAAGCAACACATATGCGCATACCTATATGTATATAACTTCCACTCACACACACTAAAAAGCATTTGGTATAACCTAAGGTCCTTCAGCAAGCTGCAATGTGTACCGTTCATTCATCTTTTATGCATATTAAAATAATAAGAGGCGCATATTAAATATTCAACGCTTTCACAACAAAAACAACAAATACGTCGATTACCTAACAAATCAACTCAAGCACTCAATGCACATATACATATATACGCATACATATATACACGTATGTACATTTATATATATATTTATATATGTGTATTTTAATGCATTTATGTGAATTGAATTTAAATTGGCTTTAAGCAGTAAGTTAAAAGGATATTTTTATACCGACCAACAAGGTCAAAAACGGTCATTCAGCACACATACATACATCCATATATATATGTATACATGAAAGTGTATAAATGTCTGTATGTAGATGTGAATAGAAATAGCTAAAATGTAAATAAAGCGATTGTGGCTCGGTGGGTGTTGTTGTGGCAGCACTTTCATTAACTACTTGCAATGCTGGCCGCAGGAAAAAGTAAGCAAAATCGTACATACATATAAATGTATATATATATATATACAGACATGTTGTACATACTAAAAAGTTCGCATATATGTTTGAATGCATGCGTTTTTAATTTTAAAAACATATACATACATATACATATAAATGTATGTATGCATACATATGTATGTATATGCATATGTGTGCACACAAACTTGACCTACAAAACTTCGCTAACTCAGTCACCACATAACATGCAACAATCTGCGGCAGTACGGTGTGCTGGAATGATTGAGCGACTATGCGACTAGGCGACTGGGCGCCAGGCCAAAAGTCAAAAGCACATGGTGAATAATTTATGTATGTATGTATGTATGTATGTATGTATTTATTGTTAAATAAGGCAGTGCAATGTGCGGCGCTTGGTCGACCCTGAAAGCTGGCAGTTTTGTGTGGCTTAATATACAAAAAAAAAAAAAACAAAAAAAAAAGAACAAAAAAAAATTACAAAAAAGCAGCCGCAGCTCTACTAGCTGACTGCGGCAGCGCGTGTTGACAGCGTCAATGCTAAGCTTTTACTAAAAATTACATCAGCTTTGGAAAATTACGGAAGCCAAAGAGAGAGAAAAAAAAAACAAAAAACCATAAAAGCAAACAGTTAATGCAAAAAGTTCATAGAAAGTGCATACGTTAGCCTTAAAATTGAGCGCACATTTACCGAATTGTTGAAAGGCCTGCTGGTGGGCGATGTCCTTGATTTCGTTGTTATTGCACTTTAACAAATTTTTATTTATTTTTCTCACTTTGTATGCGCTTTACGTTGCACAAAAACGGAAATCTATTTTAAAACTCAGCCACGCGTGCCAGCGTGCAAACCCTACATACATACATACAAACATACATATATACATACATTCATATGAATAACATAATAAAAAATGAATTAGTTTGTATGCACATACATAATATCCTTTTTATGGAAAAATCTTTACAACATTGAATGGTGGAAATATATGTATGTAAATATATATGGATGTATGAATAAATACATATGGATGTATGTTTGTGTGTGTGTTGAGTTGCCACAAATGAAGCCATTACTTACTATCAACGCAACAGCGTCTCGTTGCATATGGCTAATTCGAGATATCCACATATATATATACATACGAATGCACCGCCAGCCAGCCGCCAATGGGTATGCATATGTGTTAGTTAGCTTTTATATTTGCATGAATATATTATATTCAAAAGTAATGTGCGCATTATTGCACTCACACAAACATACTTATGTGCATACAAATATATTAACACTTATACAAATATATCTACAAATATTTACAGCTCGCTTTATGCATTTTTACCCTTGATTTTGCCTGTTTTTTTTGTAGCATTTTTTTTTTTGGCTGATATGCATGTAGGATGGCTTCAAGGCTCCCACAAACATAACAACCAATATGAGTATGCTCATATATACATACAAATAAATGGCAAATTTCCATTTGTACACCCACGCATGTTCATGCTTTAAATAGCAAAACCTCAAAGTTCGCCAAAGAAGCAAACCACCAACGCCAACTTGCCCCATGCAACATCAACACATTTTCCACTTCTCTTCTTACTCTCCTTTTCAATGCCATTCACGCTGTAAACCTTAATGTTTATGCCCACAATTTCATATTAAAAAATTACTCAGTTTACGTACGTTGATCGTAAAAAGTCTTAATCGCAAATGTAATCGTATTTTATGCGCATTCCGAGAAGGTAATGGGTTAACGGAATAACGGTTTGTTTCTACATGAGCCTATTAATTTAACAGATAAGATGATTGAATGAATGCAAAGACTTTTTTATTATTAATTTTATTTTTTCTCGAATCTTGTATTAGCCCTCAGTCTTCAAGGGAATTGATAGTTTTATTTGATTTATGCTACTTTTTTGAATATGTCTACATTGAATTAAGAGCTATTTTTTTAATATACCTATAATAGCATTTTCTCTGCTAAGCTCACTTAGAAAAAAGATTAATCTCACTTAACCACTGCTCAACCTCTTTTTATTCCACTTCTGAAATGATGATGAATGATATGAACACTAACTTACACTGACTTACTATTAAAAGAGAGATGTCCCATTTTTACTGCTTCCAACTGTGGATACTGTTTTGTAAACTGGGAGCAATCGTCTCCATTCAGTCGATATGAGCGTAAAGGCTCATATATATATATTTCACAAAATATTTCTCTTGAATACTTTTAACGTCCATTCATTGAATGCTGCCCTTCATGATTCTGCAACATTGAGTAGGACGCTGTAGAATTCTGCCATTGTTCGAGGGGAGAAAACTTTACTTTTCAATTGCCGATTCAATCCAAAGTACACCTATTGACAGAAGGGATTTTGCTTTATAGTTTGCTAGACTGGCATTGTTTTCGGTATCGATGCTGGTTCCGAGGTAGAAGAAAATGACTGCGATCTTATGACTATCAACAGTCACTTATCGGCTCAGACGTGAGTACGATGCCTGTTTATTTGGTGACATGAAATAGTTCGTCTTGTCCTCCTCTACCGGGCCCATTTATTACACCTCTCTGGGGGGTAGGGCTTCGAAAATTCTCCCACGGTGAGGCATGCCTGTCGTAAGAGACTTTTAAAATCCAAAAGTTGTAAATTTTTTTTACCGGAACGACCTGTATTTTGGGGAAAACCATTAATATTTAAGTTTAATGTGCGATGTGTATGTGGTTGATGATGAAATTTCTAGTTCTAAGGCCACACTGAAATAAATCATGCAGTTCATCGACACAAAACTTCATTCTTTCAAAATGGCCGCTGCATAGGACAGTACACACTTTGCAAGGTGTTCGCGCGAGGCCGTAAAGTTCACATTTTTTATTTAAGAAATAAATGCAATCGCAATTTGGGTTAAGTTGTACTGGTTGACTCTATATTGACCCATATTGAGACCCAACATTTACAGATTTTACGCCGAGATCTTAAATTGAAAGCAAAAAAAAAAAATGCAGCTTGTTCAAGAACTGATGGCGTTCGACACAAGTTCGCGCTTGAAAAGTTCCAATAAAATCCGACTTTTTCGAGCCAAATTTTGTTCAGCGTTGGCGGTCTGGTGCTTCAAGAGCAGGTTAGAAAAAATGTCGGCATGTACACAAAAAAACTACCGCATTTGGGACAAAGAGCAACCTAAAAAGAATTCAAGTGCTGCCATTTCCATTTTCATTCAGAAAATAATACGGTTTGGTGTGGTTTTTAGGCCGATGGAAACATCCCATATGTACATATATTTTTCAAAAATGATCCCGTTGAGAATGTAACCGGGAATGGCGGCCGTTATCGCGCCATTATAACCGACTATTTGATGCCTTAAATTGAAACTCGTGAATTCGATTTCGTTTCAACACGCCGTCGTCAGCTCCACACGTCGCATAAATCAATGGATTTGGTGAGAGAACACTTCAGTGAGCAGATAATTTACGTTTTGGGCCGGTTGATTGGACACCAAGTTGATATGATCTCACGGCGTTAGATTTTTTCCTGTGGGGATGTGTAAACTCGGTGCGGAAAATCCCGCTTCCATTCAGGCATTGGAGCAGTTACTAGTCGAAATGTTCGAACCTAACCTACAGGCAGTTACTCAGAGAATAACAGTGTGTTTAGATTGTGGTCGATCATGAATTTGATTTTTACATTTGAATTTAATGAATTAAATAAATTTAGTAGAAGAAAATAATTTGTATGCAATTAATCGTAGAAAATTGATTTATTATAACGTTCATTTTATGCAACGAGACATACATATACACCATTATTTGTTTTTACAACACCACTTTTCACATTTCGATTTTAATTTAACGGGGGCGTTAAAGCCATGATTTCTTTATGAGCAGCTGCTTATACTTTTTATACCACAACACACACACATATACATTTGCCACAAGCGAATTACAATTACAACTCATAAATATGGCTTTTTATGCACATGCACCACAATGCAACATTACATGTACGAGTACATATATACATTTACTCATATTTATATTTTTACATTGACTTGCATGCCACTTTCCCTGCCACAGCTATACATATGTACATACATACATATAGGCGCATAGGTATTATTATGTAATATGAAAGATTCATAAATTTTTAACAAAAATTACACGATCCTTTTACCACTTTTACTGCAAGCCAATGCACATATTTTCACCATTTTGCCATTTAGTTTTAAAGAAAAAAATCCCGAAAAAAGCAAAACAGAATGAACGCAGATTCCACATTTCCCATTAAGAGCATGCCATATGAACTTTACATTATTTCACATAAATACATATGTATGTATTTATATATATGTTTGTATGCATGCATATGAATTTATTGACACTCATGTCTTGCATTTTTATTATTATTATGCAATTGCAGGCTTTTACTACGACATCCTGACACCTTTTGTTGTGCGCGAGCCTACACAAGAATTCCAACCGCCGAATCGCATTTCCGCGAGTGGTGCGCGATATTGGTGGCAATATCAATACTATACACTTCGACGGCTGCTGCAACAACAACAACAACAATATAAATATACCGAAAATGTCCATATCAACAGAGCGCACATATCACGATTTTATGTCACGGTCACACAGCACAAACGCTGACAACGCGTCCGATAGCAGCAGCAGTAATAATAATAAAAACAAAATCAGCAACTGTAAAAGTACAATCAGCCAACCAACACAGCGACATAACTATCAGTATAACATCAACAAATACAGCAACAACATTCCATATACACCCGCCCGCTGTTGTCCTCTCACTGCTACACGTCACAGCATATTCGCTTTCCTGCTGCTGTCACTGCTGCTCTGCGCACATTTGCACTCCACAGAAGCCAAAGCAAAGTCGCGTAAAAGTTCCAATAGTCATCATAGTAATGATGAGAAATCACCAACGGAGGGTCAACGCTTTGCAATGGAGCCACAAGACCAAACAGCAGTGGTGGGTTCACGTGTTACGTTACCCTGTCGTGTGATGGGCAAAATTGGTGCATTGCAATGGACAAAAGATGATTTTGGTTTGGGGCAACATCGTAATTTGAGTGGCTTCGAACGTTATTCGATGGTGGGCAGCGATGAGGAGGGTGATTTCTCGTTAGATATTTATCCAGTCATGTTGGACGATGATGCCAAGTATCAGTGCCAAGTGGGACCGGGACCGGCGGGTGAGGCGGGTATACGCTCGCGTTTTGCCGAACTGACGGTGTTGGTGCCGCCGGAGGCACCGAAAATTACACAGGGTGAAGTTATTTACACCACGGAAGATCGCGAAATTGAATTGGAATGCGTGTCGGCGGGTGGCAAGCCGGCGGCGGAGGTGAGTTGTAAAACGAATGTATGGTATAACTGTAGCGCTACACAACGCGGTACAAAAATATGCACTATTTGAAAATTTAAACACGAAAAAAAAATAATTATGCTTAATGTACAAATTTCCGGTGGAATTGTTGATGAAAATTAGCTGTCAGTTGAATTTTACTTGTCAACGCAGTTGTAGTGCCAGTGAAAGCACAGTTTGAGCGCTACTCTACTGCTGCTGGTTGCCTTTGTGTAGAGGGCGCGCTGCTGGCAATGTATAGCAAGTAACGAAACCTTTGCACAAAACGACAACGACAATGCAGTGCCGTCGATAAGACAGTTCAAAACTGTCTTAACACGCATATTTTTTTCAAACATTTGTTATTTCGTGTTTCAACCAAATAACTTGGAGCAACGAAATTACAAGTTGAGTTGATCTGAATTTGAACTTTCTTATCACTTCCGTTGCTCTAACTAAACAACGTAAATCAGTTGAATTTTTTTCACCATTTAACGATGCAAAAAAAATTATTTAACTTAATTTGCAGATAACTTGGATTGACGGCCTCGGCAATGTGCTCACCAAGGGCATTGAGTATGTGAAAGAACCACTATCGGACTCACGTCGCATAACAGCCAAGTCGATTTTGAAATTAGCACCCAAGAAAGAGCATCACAACACCACGTTTACTTGCCAAGCGCAGAATACAGCGGATCGCACTTATCGCGCAGCCAAAATACTCATAGAGGTCTGTTAGAAGCTGATATTTACTTCAAAATTTTTATTAAAACAAGAAAATTTTTTCTTCTCTCACTCAACTCAGGTCAAATATGCGCCGAAAGTGGTGGTATCGGTGATTAGCGGGGCTTTGGCTGGTGGTCGTATATTGGAAGGCTCTGAGGTTATACTATCCTGTAAAGCGGATGCAAATCCAGCACCGCAAAGCTATCGTTGGTTCATAAATGATGAGCTCGTCACCGGTGATTATACAACGAAAATGGTGAGCTGTTATTTTTGGTACAATTGCCGGAATTTTCGATCTAATTCTCCATTATTTTATTGTAATCACTGATTTTAGATCATTCACAATGTAACGCGTCAACATCATGAAGCTTTGGTGAAATGTGAAGTTGTCAATGCGGTTGGTAAAAGCGAAGAGACGGAAACCTTGGACATCAGCTGTGAGTATTATAGCAAACTTGACAGAATTTTAGTTAAACAGGGAGCAGGGAAATACTGCGTTCTGCTGCAGTTCGATAGGTTAGATTTTAGCGGGGGCAGACGGTTCATTTGGATGTTAAATTAAAAGTAAATCTGCTTTCAATGATACCCCTTGACCAACCACATGCCGCTTCGGGTACAACGGAACTGACGAAGTATTTTGCCCGCATCCGTTTAGCTTGCGAAACTCCATTTTAGATCACAATCATTAGCTTTATCTTTACCTCCTCTGCAAAGCAAGGCCTCTCTTTTCGATTGCAGGCGCATACAGAATAATAAAACGGATAATAACTGGACGGAGCTAATCCGTTTCTCTTCCATTCTATTGTAGATCCTTACTTCGGCTAACAAAATTTCTAAAAAAAAAATCAACTCTAATTTCAGATGCTCCTGTTTTCCGACAGCGTCCCATCTCCGTTGAGGCTGATTTGGGTACCAACGCAAATTTGCTATGTGACGTGGATGGCAATCCGACGCCTGAAATTGAATGGATTAACGAAAACACAGACAAGGTATTTGTTGGTCTCTTAAAACTTCCCCAACTCACTTTCGGCTGCCGACTAACTCATGATTCTTTCATACATTCGCCTATACAGGTCGTAGGCACCACTGCAAATCTCAATCTTAAAGTGAGCAGCGAGACAGCGGGTCGCTACTACTGCAAAGCGATAGTCACAGGCTTCCCGGAGATTGGCGCCGAGGCGACCATTTATGTTAAACGCGCACCAATTATCACCTCGCATAAGGTGCAATTCGGTGCGGTTGGTAGTCGCGCTAAAATCGATTGTGTCGCATTTAGCGTACCCAAGGCGGAGCAGATACTCTGGTCATTCGATGATAAGGTGATTAATATGAGCACTGCCGATCCGGACATTTACATATTCGAGGAACAACACCTACCGGAGGGGGTGCGTGCCGCGTTGATTATCAAAGAGAGTCGCTCCAGCCATTTCGGACGGTATAATTGTACGGTGAAAAATTCGTATGGCAGCGACTCTTTGTTGATCAACTTGAAACCGGAGCGTAAGTTGGATTAGAGTTTAAACTTCAAAAATTCTGTAAATTAAGGTTATTTTATCATTCCAGCCGGTTCCGTGCCAATACTACTCGTTGTCATGGGCTCGCTTTCATCGGTAGCTATTGTTATTATGATTGTAATGCTGGTGATTGTTTACATGAAACGCACCAATAAGAAACCCATGCCAGCGGATGTCATACCGGAGGCATCACGTGGCTGCGATAAATTATCCGGTTTAAAGCACGAATTGCGTGCCAAAGCTTACGATGTTGATTACTCTGAGGCGGGCAGCGATGGATTGGCAATCAATCTGACGCAGACGCCAATGCCGGATGTGCAAATGAAGGGCGCTACGCTAGGTGTGCCACTGGCGGGACCAGTGAAGTTGGATGACAGGTGAGATTCAAAGCGTTTCATTAAACTATTCTTTACTGAATTTCAAAACCACACACAGATTTTCCGGCGAGTTCAGCTACAGCCGCCAATGTCATATCAAAAACTTAAAGAATCAAGACTACAAAGAGACTGTCAACGGTTATGCGCCCTACTTTGAATATGCGCTCGACTATAGTGCACCCAATGAGGGTGGCAAGCCCGGCGCTGGTGTTGCCGGCAGCGGCGTTCAGAAGACCCAAAGTGGCACCATCAATTCGGCCACGTTACCACATTATACAAATCCCGTTACAACGACCGGCAATCTGAGCTTGCCACGCAATCGTAACGATGCGCCGCAACAAAGTACCGCACAAATGGGTAATGGATTCCTGGGTAAGTTGATTTATAAATATCTTTGTTATCCTTCCATTCACTAAAGATCACTTCTTTGCACATTAGCCGGTCAATCACTCCTACAGAACGGCATCGACAGCCGCTTCAGCGCCATCTACGGCAACCCTTACCTACGTTCGAACTCATCACTACTACCGCCCCTACCACCGCCTAGCACGGCCAACCCCGCCGCCACACCTGCGCCACCACCTTACCAACGGCACCATCATCATTCCAGCGCTGGCCAGCATGCGAATATGAATGGTGGCATCGGCGTGACAGCACTTAAAAATTTCAACGCTGTAACGGGCATGGTAAACAGCAGCAGCAGCAATGGTGGCGCCGGCAGTGTGAGCGGTAGTAGTTCGAATTTGACTGCGAGCAGTAATACGCTCGCGGCAATGACACCGCTCACGCAATGTGCACCCATCTCGACGGCGACACCTGTTACAACAACAGCGGCGGTGTCTATAGCGGTGGCGCAAAGTCCCTCCGGCCAATTTATTCTACCATCGAACGGCAGCGCTAAGCAGGGCGCACTCGCTACGCATGTCTAAGAGAATCTGTGTAGGCACCTATTTTGCACGTACACAATAGCACCCTGTATACAATTTGAAGCACCTTGTACTTTAGTCGCGCACGCTATACAATCGCCGCCGCCAACGCCTCCGTAGCCGCAGCAGGAGGAGCAGCTGGAGGAGCAGGAGCAACAGCCAGTATCACGCGTCCTTATATGTCAATGCTACGCACACGCACATATGTATGTATGTATATATATGTAGTATGTATGTGCAACTATACATATACGAATATATAGCGAGTATATATTTATTTAAGACTACTTACGGGTCAGCTCACTGTGAGTAACTGACTCGTCCATATCACTAGCGTATCTGTAGTGTAAATTTTTTTAAAGATTAAAATTAAAACTATTGTAAATCGCTATCAACTGATAAAGCAAGCAGAGATTTTAGTCAATTAGTAAAAGTTGTAAATTTTTAAAGGTAAAATTATATAAAAAAAAGTTACTTCAGTGTTATCATTATGAGAATGTGTTGTTATACTAACAAAAAAATATAATAAACAATTGAAATATAAATTATTAAATATTAAATTAAATAAAATACGGTGAAATAAAATTAAGAATTTGAGTAAAAAAAATAATTAAAATATAATATACAAAAAAAATATAATAAATTGAAATAAATTAAATATAAAAAAATAAATAAAATAAAATCAAAATTAATAAACTGAAGTAAAATAAAACAGAAATAAAATTAAATTGGACTAAAATTATATGTGAAAACTTCAAATAAAAAATAAAGTAAGTAATATAAACAACTAAAGCAAGAAATAAACAAAATTAAAAATTAACCAAATTTATTTAAATTAAAATAAGTAATATTAAAACTAACTAACTAAACACAAGTTGAATAAATTACGTTCAATTAAATAAAATAATAAAAATTAAATAAATCATAAACAAAGTTGAATTAAATAAAGGTTATGTAAAATAAACAAATTAAAATAAATAATAATTAAGTAAACTAAAACCAAACATAATAAAAATCAATAAAAATAATTAAATTAAAAAAATAATACCAAACGTAATAAATCGTAATGAAATGGAATAAAATATATTAAACTAAAAAAAAATAATAGAACAAAATTAGTAAAACAAAACAGAACAAAATTAAATTAAATAACGTAGATTAAATTTAAACAAAATTAATTACATTAAAATTAAACTAAATTGAATAATAAAAACTAAAATATAACAAATTAAATTAAATAGAATGACCATAAAAGAAATCAAGCTAAAAAGTAAATTAAAATAAAGCAAAAATAAAGTAAAATATGCAAAAAGTAATAATAAAAATCGTGAAAAAATATGATAAAATATTCGATAAATTAAAGAAAAAATAAGAATAATATAAAAACGTGAAAAATTGTGATAAAGTAAGAAAAAAAAAATTTTCTTAAAATAAATAAAAGTAAATAAATATAATAAAATAATAAAAGAAATTTAAATAAAATAGGGAACAATTAAATTTATCCAAATAAAAAATAAAATATACAATAAATAAATTAAAAATAAATTAGATGAAATAACATCAAAGAAAACAAAAGAAATAAAAAAGAAGCAAATGCAATAAAAAATAAATAAATAAAATATAAAAATAAAATATAAAAAAAAAAAATAAATAATAAAAACTATCACAAGAAATTGAAAAAGAATAAATAAATTTTAAAATAAAATAAAATTATATAACTAAAATCATTTGAAATAAACAAAACTTCAGACAAAAAATAAAATAAAATAAAATAAAAAATTAAATTGTATTAAATAAAACAAACTAATTTAAAAAAATAAATTATATTACATTAAATATAATAAAATTGAACAAGATAAATTAAAACCAAACAAAATTAAATTAAATTAAAGAAAAATTATTTAGAATCAAATTAAATAAAATTTAAATCACAAACTAAAAATAACACAAAAACGAAAAAAAAATAAAAAAGGAAATGTTAAATCAATAAAGAAAAAAATTAAAATAATATTAATAATACAACTAAAATATTAATTTAATTTACAAAACTTAATTAAAGTAAATTTACTAAAATAAAATAAAATCATAGAAAGCAAATTAAAATGAATATAATACAAAAAACTCAAAACGTAAAAAAATATAATGAATGACAAATAAATAATATAATATAAATTGACATAAAAATTATTTAAAAAAAATAGTAAACAAAATGTAAATTAAAACAAAATGTAATGGATAGAAAGTTAAGAAAGTATATAACAAATAAATAAATACCTGGAACAAAATAAAATAAAATCTGGATACAAATAAAACAAACAAAAATATTAAAGTGAAATGAAATAAAAAAGTTAAAAAAATAAAATTAAAAACAAATAAAGAAATAAGCAAATAAAAAGAAATATATTATTTTATTATATAATAGAAACTGGAAAAGAAAGTTATCTAAATTAAAAATTAAAACCAAGTGAAGAAAATAGACTTTTATACATAAAAATAAAAAATTTAAAAATTAAATAAAATGCAATAAAATGGAATTAAATAAATTTAACTCTAAACTAAAAATGAAATAAATTCAAATCAAAAATAAATATGAAATTAATTAAAAAATCAAACAAATAAAAAATTGAAAACATAAAATAAAATTAAATTGAATAAAAAATAAATAAAGAAAAATAAAACAATAAAGTGATATGAAGTTATTTAAATTAAAAATTAAAATCAATTGAAAATGTAAATGTAAAAATAACACATTGAAACAAAATAAAAAAACGAAATTTTATATTTGTTTAAAAATTTTAAAAATAAAGTAAAATGAAATTGAATTAAATGATTTTAAAAATGAAATAAAACTAAAAAAAAAAAATAAAACAAAATGAATTTAATTAATTTAACTCTAACCTAAAAATAAAATAAATTTAAATACAAAATTAATAAAAAAATTAAATCAAAGAAAATTTAATTGAATAAATTTAACTCTAAAGTAAGCATAAAATAAATTTAAATACAAAATCAATAAAAAATAAATTAAAATAAACTAAAGAAAAATAAAAATAAATATCAAGTGAAGAAATTAGATTTCCATATAAAAATAAAATATTGAAACAAACTAAAAAATAAAATGAAAATTTAAAAGTAACATAAAATTGAACTAAATAATTTTAAATATAAAATAAAACCAATAAAGAAAAGAAATAAAATAAAGTTGAATTAAATAATTTTTAATACAAAATAAAAAAAGTAAAGTAAATTAGAACAACACACATTTCTCATTATGATTACCAACAAAGAACAATGAAATTATCGTCGTATACTCATATCAGCGAAGGAAATTTTAAATTTTACAAACGAAAAACAAACAGATCCTGGATCCAATTTTGATCGACAGGTGAATAGACGAAAGTTGAATTCTTAACGTATTGTGATTATTAGCGTTAATTATCTATGAAATTAAATAAATAAATAAAAATATTAGAGCATTAAATACTTTTCATTGGAAGTAAAAATAAAAAGAAAAATCTTTAAAAAAAAACTAGCATCAATCCTAATAATATCGGCTACAAGAAAATGCTAAAAATGACAAACAAACAAATATAATAATTTAATAAAATGTTAAAAAAACAACAACAACTAGAATAACTATTTGAAATACGGCATTGTATGTTAGCGGAAGTTAGGGAGCGAATAACTGATGTAATTAATTGAAAAAATAAATAATAAATATATATACATATGTAAAAAATACAATAACAAAAGAAGAAGAAATTATACGAAAAATGCCTGTAGTTAGTTCCATGTAAAAATCAAGCAACAAGTTTTTTATAATTCTAAATTCTATAAAATGTGAAATTAGCTACTAGTTTAATAAAGATTTTAATTAGCAAATAATTCAATTATGCATGTATGTAATAAATTATAATTAATTTCTTTACGCAAAAGTGTGCAACACAACAAAAGTGTGAAGAAAATATTGCTTAATTTTAAATGGATTTAATTTAACAGAAAAATAGAGATGTTAAAAAGGAAATAAAAAATTATGCATTTAGAAATTAATATAATATGTGTGCATGCTGGATATGTGAATATGTTAGCGCATGAGCGTAGTGAGTGGATGATTTGAATTTGAATTTTCTCTGAGATTTATTTATTTTTATTTTTTGTTTTATTTGTTAAATTTTTATACTTTTATTTTGTATTTTGATGTATATTAAATCGCTACTTGCATATATTATTTGTTTGTATCAATCTTAAATTTTTTTTATTATTTGAACAATTAATTGCTGTAAATACCAACACTCTGTGGTCTTATGATTTTTATTAATTAAATTTTTTTAAATTTTAAAAGTTAACTTCAGCTTATTTTAACGATTATTAAAGTTTATCACATGTATATTATAAATTTATATTTAATTTTTTTATTTAAGTGTGTACAAAAAAAATTATATGAAAATTCTGTAATATTTGCTAAATTAGTTTAACTTGCTTTTTGCTTATTGTAAATACACTACTTTATTTAAAAGAGCAATGTATGAATGGAAATTAAATTTAATTAATTTAACCGAAATATTTAAATAAGTCATAAACGAAATCTAAGCGCTAAAAAAGATGCATATGAAATAAAAATTAAAAACAAAATATTAATATTTGTTGTATTTCTTCTAATTTAGACCGCTATTTTTGTCAAAAAACTAGAAAAATATTCTTCTTCTTCTTCTTCTTCATTGGCTTGGGCACTGCTCACTCGACTATAGCCGAATCAACAATAGCACGTCATTGATTCCTTCGCTTTGCTATTTGGCGCCACTTGCAAATACCATCCACTCTCCACCTGAACCTTCAAACGGTATAGATGCCTTCCTCTTCCTCTGCGGGTACTGCATCGAAAATTTTCAAAGCTGGAGTATTCGCATCCATAAGGATCGCAAGACTTAGCAAGCGCAGCCGCTGTTTCTTCATTCGCTGACCTATGTCAATGTCACCATATATCTCACACAGCTCATCATTTCATCGGCTGCGGTATTCAACGTTCCCAACTCGTAGAGGACCTTACGTTTTATGTAAATCCTTTCACTCAAAAACCCCCAACGCCGATTTATCAGATGTTGTCATCGTCCATGCCTCCGCAGCATAAATGTAGCAGGACGAGAACAATAGGCGTCTTGTAGAATTTGGTTTACGTTGGTCGGAAGAGGACTTTACTTTTCAATTGCCGACTCAGTCCGAAGTGCACTTGTTGGCAAAAGTGATTTGGCGTTGGATCTCCAGGCTGACATTGGTTCCAAGATTGACGAAAATATCAACGACTTCAAAGTTATGACTGTCAACAGTGACGTGGGAGATGAGTTGCGAATACGCTGAGTGTTTGTTTGATGGCAGGGATACTGCGTTTTATCTTCGTTCACTACTAGACCCATATCCTTCGCTTATCCAGCTTGGAGAAACTCACGGCGCGGTCGCTATGATTACAGAAAGTGTACCTTCTCTACTCAGCTCTGCAGTATTAAATTGAAGACGTCGCACGATAAGGAATACCTTGTCTGAAACCTCATTTGGACAAAATCGCTTACTTGATTTAATTGTAGGAAAATTATCTGCCATTTTGTACTGTAGATTGCATGAAGTAACATTTTCATACCTATGAAAAGCGCTCATTGCAACTCTGCAGCTGTGGCTACTGCAGTACGTGGTTGGGGCACCGCTGAACTTGAGGAAAGTACTTCTTGGCAGTGGCACTTAGCAGTAAATAGATATAAAACCTTAATTTTCTCATACCTTGTAAAAAATGGTATCGTATATTGAGCAAAGTCGTGATTTGGGTTAAACAAATTTGGGTTTCATCCCCAACGTATGGTGCGGCTGTGAAAAGCCCAGCTTAAAGTTTGCAGTTCATACATTTGTGGTGTGTGTGTCTTAAATGGAGGGACCTACACTTTTTTCACAGTCTCTGCGGAGAGACAAACGCAATTACATAAATTGATCGAACCTGCATCAAAGCCCTGGCTTTCTGAATGTCAATAAGTAATGCTAACTACTCGGCTGTTGCGGACAATTTTTACGATTTCTTTCTCACTTCTCAGTCATTAAAAATGGCTTTGTTTGGAGAGTATCTAGGAATTTTTTTTTGGAAAAAAACACACACATCGATAGCAACGCCAGAAGCTCCGAGAACTAGGTTGGAAGATTCTTATGCATCCAACTTATGGCACAGATCTTTTACCAAGTGATTAACTGTCTATGGCGAAATATTTGGCTGGTGAAGGATTGGCCTCAAGAGAAGCGTGGGAAAATCGCTTATCTCAAGTTTCCGTCAATATTGACAAGAGTTTCTATAAAAGAGGCATAATGACATTACCTTCAAAATGACAAAAAGTTATGGAGCAAAATGTCACTTATTTAATATTAAACGGATAATTCTAACTACTTTTTACTAGACCTAATATTAACAGCGGCCACGGTAGTGTTAGGGGTTAGCATTGTGTATTGATATTCGGAAGGCTCGGGTTCATATCCCGGTGCCATCAACATCCAAAAGTTAGTGAAAATTAATTTAAATAAAAAATTAAGTTAAATTTTATAATTGCGGTTGCCCCTCGCCATGGTATGTCAACCCCTCCGAGTGTATCTCTGACATAAAATAAGGCTCCTCATAAAAAATCAGTCGTACGAAGGCGCCTTAGTATAAACAGTAGGTCCCCCCATTTGGTGTAAATACGTCAAGACTTAAAACCATAAATTAGAGGAGGAGCTCGGCCGAAAATCGCCTCAGCGGTCACAAAGCGCCAATTATATATTTATATATATATTAGTTTTGCAATATTCCAATTCTTTTGTAACATTTTTTTTTTGCAATTATTGTGTATATGTACATAGCTCATGGCCTAAGATATATTTCATTAATTGGCTTCCTTCGAAAAAACATATATAGATTCGAGATATATGAAAATGAGGTATTTCCAATTAAAAATTCGAAGTTCGGTCAGTATAAGGCCATTTTATATTCCTCGACATTAAGATAGGAAAATTACTTATCCCTTTGTTATTGCTGTGCTACCAAGTTCGCGCAAGCGCCTGTGCGTATGCAACATATAATGTCAAATTTATGTCACCAAGATACCTTCTATTTCTTATATTTTATTTTGACTGCTATTTTCATTTGTTAAAAAATAATTATATCAATACTATCTTATACACACATATATATATATATATATATATACTTTATGGATGTTTAGGCGATTTTAACTTAGAGTTTTGCTACCTGACGAGCTTACGAAAACATCGAGATGAATTTTTCCGTGTCTTTCCAATGCTGAAATTAACCAAGCTGCAATTTTTTAACCTTAAGCAATGATTTTCAGTTTTTTATTGTTAATTGTGTAAAAGGCGCCATAAAAACACATCTCAGTTCAAAAGAATTAAAAAAGTTATTAACATACAAATAAATTAAAAATTAATTACAATTGAATTTGTGCTTTCGCAAAGTAACCGCATTTTCTTTGAAATCATTCACCACTGATCTATGATCAAGAGTTGCCAGAATATGCAGAATATATAAAATTTATAAAATACTGGCGATTGTGACTATTTTTTTTTATGATAAAATGTGACATTAACACAATTAATTATTATTTATCTATTTCATTTTTTTATTTATATTTTTATTATCGAACCACAGGGAGCCCTATTGACCAAGGCCCAAAGAAAATTATTGCAATATCAATTAAATTTAATTTAGTGGAAAATATTTTGGATTTGCTACGAATTTTAAAAGTTACTTCCAACAAACTTTATTTAAATAAAAAAAAGAAACAGAACAGAAGAAACCACTTTTTTTAATTTTTTTCTTTTGCAATTTATTATAAACGCACTACACAGTGCACATTAATATGGGTAATTTTAAATTTTTTGACAAATTAAATGTTAGAATTTTGATTTTTTAATTAAAAGTATAAATTAGGTATTATTTGCGTTCTTTTTTTTATTTACAGCAAAACATGTGTTTTCCTCTAGGATATTCAAAGTTATCTGCTAGTAAATTTGCGGTTAACACACTTATTTTCAATTATTTGTAATATTATCCAACACAGTTCTATTTTTTTATATAACTAACCGCAAATTGCTACTGTTTTCCGGTTTCTATGCGAATTTCTATACAAGAATAAAGAATTGATTAGTTTTTATACTTTTCAGTAGCGCACGTTTACAAAATATATATTTTTTTGCCATAAACAAGACCACAAACGTCGTTGCATTTGAAATATTTATGGAGAAAATTGTAGCGTTCCCACAATTCGTATGCCAACTGTTGCGATAAAGAAATATAAATCATATTATTTCACAACAATTTACTTATTTTTTAATACATTTAATAAATTTTATCAACATTTAGTTGGATTTAAAAAAAAAAAGAAATAAACCCAGTTCCTGTGCTAAAAAAATTATATCAAAAGCGGATGTTTTAGCATTTTATATATACATAATGACATGTTTGCATATATTTTTTCACATCAAAATGAGAGAATAATAAAAGGCTAGCTAATGCCTGGCAAGAACTCCTTAGCAAATAAAATACACGTGTCAATTTTGAGAAAATAACAAATTTCAAAAATTGCTTAAAGCATAAAAAAATTAATAAAACTTTGGAAAAATCACACAAAAAAGCAATACAAAATAACTGCTAATTTTGTGCACTTTAAATTTGTAAAATACCTCAATTAATTATGAAAAATGATATCATTTTATTATTTTGCCAAATGTCACCGAATTTAAATTTCTCACACCCCAAACTACTGTTCCAAATACACGGTAAATAAATTAACATGTGAGTTTTTAAAATTTTCTTAACAAAATCAATTTAAATTTCTTCATAACACTCTGTGTTTTTCGCGCACACCAAAACGTTCCCACTCATACCACAGCTTAGTGTGGATGTTAAGAGCCAGCCATTTTGAAACGAGACTCGTTGGGCTCAAGCAACACTGCTTGCGCTGAGCCGTATTTCAGGTGTCTGTTTGAATTGTGCTCAGTTTTGTTTTTTCCCCGAATATCCAAAGCATTTCTCTCACTGCACACACAAACGCCCCTCAAACCGTATATGTATGCTCTCTCGCAATCTCGCAATCTCGCACTCGCCGACTCTCCAAGCGGTAGCGCCGTTATTGTTCTTATGGTGGTGGCGCGCAGCTTGCTTGACATTGCCTTCTGAGCTCAGCTTGCTAACCGCGGCGCTCATAATAGTTTGTGACGCGAAGTGAGTAGTGTTATTGTAAACGTTAACCGGATGGACGGCTGTTGATGATGGCGACGGTTTGAATAGAAATTCAATTTGAAAAAGGAAAACAAGTAAAATACAAAGCGTGCAACAACAACAACAGTATCTACATTGAATTATTCAAATTCTGCAAATAAGAAAACAGTGTATGTATGTATGTGTTGTTTTAAGTGGATTCACGGTTGTAGAAGTTCCGCGGTTCCTATGCGGTAATAAACAAAATTTCATTGTGAATTTATTTTATGGTGCATAAAATAGCGAAAAAGTAAAAAAAAAAATTGAAAGAAAATAAAAGTATGAGTAAGAGGTGGAGAGAAGAAAAATAAAGTCAGTGCATAAATAAATGCAGTTTTTGTCCTTTTATAAGGTTAAATGCAGTAGTGTGTGAAATGCAGCTGCATGCGTCCATCAGAAGCACCACCAACACCAGCAGTAAGTGGTAAAAAAAAACATCAGCAACGCCGTCGCTAGAGAATTTTGCTGCTTTTTATCCAGCGCGTTGGAATTTAATTGAAATTGATTTCATCCGGTTAAACGAATTTTGTAAATTTTGCATTTAGAAAAGAAAAACAACGAAAATCGGCTACAAAAAAAAGGAACATCAAACGAAAATTATTGAAAAACACGATAATTAATCTATAGTGTGCGAAAACGGAAAACGTGAAAGAGTGTCTGAAATAAAATGTATAAAACCAATTTTTATGTGCATTTTTGCATGAAAGCAAAGAAAAGGAAAATTTGAAGGCATCAAGGCGAAGTGAATTAAAAACATCGAAGAAGCAACGCAACTACTTTCAAATTGGAAATTTTGCATATTGAAAAGTTAATTTATGATACATTAAAAAATAATTTTTATGCCGTTGGAAAAATTGTTTAGTGTTAGAACAGAAATATACGACTTTTTTTCAGTAGTAAAACTAAAACTGTGTGCAAATAGCGGTTTATGTGTAAAAAAGATAATAAAAAAATGACGTTCTAATATTAAAAACATAATGTGTATAAATCAAAGCTCACTTTGTTTAATTGTTCGCATTCTAAAGCTTGCATTAAATATAAAATATTATATATAACTCACTATTAATTGGCAGTAAAAACGAAATTTGACAAATCATTTAAAAAACGAACGAATTAAAATCCTCGAAACATCAAGTCTGATTAAAACATAATTACTAATTGAAAAAATATGGTACATCAAAATATGTGTTTTATGTAAATTAAAAAAATTGTTATTCTGAAAGAAATTATATTTTTTTACATTTATCAACGAGTGCTTGCTTAACGCGTACGAAAAGAGTCTTACATTTCCATTGCAACGCCAGCGCATTAACGCATGCGCTTAGGTGTTGTTAATAAAATTGTGCTTTTACATATAAATTGTTTAAAAATTACATACAATTATTTAACGACGAAGGAATATAAAACTGGATTATCAAAATGTGGCTGTTGATCAACAACAACACATTTCCTAAATCGGATATATTTTGGATAAAATTACTAACATCTTTGCTGCTTATATGTGGATTTATTGGTAGCGGTAAAGCGGCGGGTAAGTGAATGAATGCAAATAAATAAAAAATATGTAATAACTAAAAAGATCGCAGGTAACCATAATGTTTTAAAACACATATCTTCATATACATATGTTTGTACAATAACAAAAATTGTAGTTAATCGTATAAATTTTACATTTTGCATTGCAACCCCCTCTGCAACTATTATAGTAAATATTTCCGCTTTTATGTGTACAATCTTCATCTGCTTAGTTACCACTTTTTACAAACGAATATTGAATTATACACTCTTCCTTCTTCGTTTAATCAACATTCTCTACATCACAATTTTTAACATTTTACCAAGTCTCCTATTCTTCGCGCTGTATCTTCATATACAACGCATATTCTCTTACCTTTCCTTTTACACTTACCTTCTTCTCCTTTTTTCTCATATATGTAAGTATGTATGTACTCACAAATATGGCATTTTCTTCGTTCATACATGGTATTTGCTGTGGTCACCGTTTTCGAAGACTCTGTGCATTTGTTATTTTTTCTTTAGAAGGTTTTGTCATTTCATGCTCTTGGTCTTGGTCTCATTGCTGCACTCTTGCATTTATTCGGCTTACTTCTTTTCTTCAACCACTCAATTTTTAACACTCACCTCTCTGCATTTTCTCCTAACCACTTATTTAGCCATCCAGTCAGTTAGACAGGCAGCCAGGCAGCGAGACAGCTAGTCAGTTCTTCGACCAGCCATTTTGTTTCCGTCTACGGCAGCAAATCTGGATAGAGACTCGTTCAGGATCATATTGCCTTTTAGTAGATACATTCAAATTCACACACATGCACACATACGCATACAAGCGGTTGATCGCATTGTGTATTCAACGTGCAACAAAATCTGTATCTGAGCATAAATGCTTGGATATATACTCGTACATTCATACATACATACATACATACATAGGTGAATAGGTGTGCGTAACTGCTGTAGCGAGATTTCAGCGGAATTTTAGTATCTACAAGTAAATCTATCCTAATTGAGTTCTGTGGAATTCGTTCATTAGTAGATATTTTCGTTCTTTATGTTGCCTTTGAAAAGATTTTATGTTTTTATAATTAATATTTTTTGCTTATTAGAAAATTATAATAGCGATGGAATAATTTAGCAAATATAAAAAAATAAATGCGTTTGACGATTTTTTGGTTTTACTATTGTGATTTCGAAATTCTGTGTATATATGTATATCTATGTATGTATGTATCATATATACAAATTTATATTTGCGTATATATATTTTCATTGACAATTAATAATAAATTTATTGCTATGGCTGCATTATTTCGGGTATCAAAGGTCTATTTTTAATATTTTTGTTATTGCATTGTTTTTCTAAATTAAATTAAGCAATTTTTTTTTATCTTATCATTCATTCAAAATTTATTTCCACTTATTTTGTTTTATTTTTTATTTATTTTATTGTATTATTTACAGATTTTTTTTCTTTGATTATGTTTTTATTATTGCCTTATGTTCTTGATTTACATATATTTTTTGATTTCATTTCAATATTTTTATTTATTTTTCCATATTTCCTTTCATTCATAATTATTTAAATGTATTTAATTTTTTTTTTTATGTTACATAATTTTTTATGTCTTTATTTTATTTTATTTAATTTAAATCTACTTTATTTTATTTCATTATATTTTTCTACTTTTTTTTCAAATGCATATTATTTTAATTTAGTTTATTTTATTTCTAAAAAATTGAATCACTTTTATTATATTTTATTTGAACCCCCTTTATTTTATATTAGTTTCTTATATGCTATTTTCCTTTATTTTAATTAAATTATTTTATATGATTTTTTTAAGTTTAAATATTTTTTATATTTTATTTAATATTACTTTAATTCATTTCAGTTTAATTTACTTTAAATAATTTTTTCTAATCTGATATATTTTTTGACTTAATCTAATTTTACTTAGTGTTATTTTATTTTGTTCCTTTATATTTTATTTTTGTATTTTTCATTTTTTTTAATTCTATTTTATTTTTTTGTATTTGAGTTTATTTTTTGCTTTAATTTTTTTTATCACTTTATTTTATTTTTATTTTATATTATTTAATTTTTTTCTTTTTATAATTAAATTTCTCCTTTTTTTATATGTCATTTATTTTATTTTACTTATTTTAGCTTTTTATCAAAAGTTTTGTTTTCAATTGTTAATTCTGCCTTTATTTGCTTATTTTTATTATATTATATTTCCTACTTTTTTTTTTAATTTTTTAACAACAAAATTTTTCTGCTTCTATTTTTATATAACAACAATAACATACACTTGGCTTTTAAAAGTTTTCCCACCAAAATTTTCCCAGCGTCTGCAATAATATTTATTATGGCTTTTAAGATTTCGACCACCGCAATAAAGTACTTGTGCTTTTCTGCAATCCTTTTGGTTAAGTAGGGCTTAATCTGTTTGTAAATATTTTTCGTAATGAGAACAGCGAACTACCGAATTTTATCGCCAAAAAGGGGCCATTAAATTGATTAAGAAAAAATCGGAAAAGAGAATTGTGCCCACATGAAGTCATTTAAGTGCAGATTTCTTATCGCCTGCTCAGTGAAATTCAATATTTAACTGCTCAAAACACAAGTTTCACTGATAAATTTCGACAAATATATAAACAAAAACAACCGAAGAAGATTAATTCAAAAGAAAATTATCTCAAGTGATTTGCAAGAAATGGGCTTAGGTTGAATGAAATGAAAATTGTGGTAAAGTTAAAGAGTTTTTTTTTTGGAATTATCATAAATTTTGAGCTGTAAATATTTAAAAAGTTTTCTGCTCACCTTTTTGATATTGAAAATGTTTTTGTAAGGAACCGAATGTAGATCTCAACGAATTCATAACAGAAAATAAAAGCCATTTCACAGCTTTCCTCAGCAAAATGAAATGTTTGTATTACTACTGTAAGCCAAAACAGCTGTAGATATATATTTGTGTTTAGGAATATTGTGGGCATAAAAAATTAACGACAATCGGAGAATAATTAAAACTCTTTTTCTAACCGCTTGATTTTATGACAAACTCCCTAAATGCGTTGTCAACTACACACATATCTATGAACATATTTATGTTGATGTATACATACTTACATGTGATGCACATCAATGAAAGAGTCAATAGAATGCATAACGAACGTGAGACACAAATTAAAACTACGCCACATCCATATATACATACATACATACACGTATGTAAGTGCATTATGACTATGATGCCGATGCGCATGTGCAAAGACGACAAGACATTGGCTTGGCCCACAAGCTTCTTAGCCGAGTTTAATAAAGAAGGTGTGTACATACACACAAGTACATATGAGAAAATAACAAAATAGAAGTATGGAAAAACTCCAACTCTCCATTATGTGTTAGTACATACATATAAATTTATTGCGCATGCGTACATTTATTGGTTCATTCAATGCTTTGTATAATACCTACACACGTGTATATATGTATGTATGTAGCTAGCTCGGGAATTTTTATGTATTTTCATAGTACAACAAATACATGTGCGGCATTTTGCCTTTGTAATTAACTACGAGTAAGTATTTTCAAACAGCCAATGCACTGACTATCCCACGTACATACAGACATGCATATATACATATAATATACAATATTATGGCATATGTTTGCGCGTAAATAAACGAAGAACAACAATAAAGCTAATATTAGTGTTTGTATGTTATGCGTACATATACATACATACATATGTATGTTAAAATGTATTACGTATATACACACAGGCATACCTGTATGCCCCACGGCCTGGCCGCCCTTTAACATTCAAGCCAACTCACCTTTAAGCCATTTGCTTGAGACGCCGCTATGCTATGGATATGTCTTTACGGCGCTCAGTTAGCTAACATACAAAAATACATGCATACAAACACAGTCTAAGTACATACATATGTATGTATGTAGATATGTATGTAGGTATGTTTGTCACTCACAGACAGGAAATTTAACAAGCAAAACACTAAAATACACTAAAATACCAAAGAAAAATATCAAATAAAAATAATGAAAATACACACACATACATAATTCGGTTTAAGTGTGTTAGTTGTTGGAAAAAATGCGCTTAAATATTTGCTCAGCCCGCTTTTGTAAGTCATGTCCGTCTCGGTGTCACTCATAACGTCAACTTTTATATGTTTATTTACCCCTGGGTGTACGGATGCCTGTGTCTGTGTGTGTGTGTGTCGCTACCTCTCGGTTTCCTGTGAATTCTACTTGCTACACATTTTTTTTTTGTATTATTTGCTTGTTTTTTTCTTTCATACTTTTTACTCAAACATTTGCACTTATTTACCAAAAAATGTAAATATATGTATGTACAATTGTGTGCGTATGTTTTTAATTTCTTACGAAATACCTACATACATTTTATGTTGCTTCGTTATTTGTAAATCGGTTTGCGTCAGTCCAGTACAACGCCCCTAATCATATGTCAATAATTTGCATTATTCTAACAACAACAAAAAAAAAAACAAAAAAAAAAAGAGAAATAATAAAAATTTATCAGTCAGCACTGACCAAAGTTTGCTGACATTGCTGATGATGAAGCACACTTTGAAATATATACATACATATTTATGGCTCTTCTAAGTAACTATGTACACATTACTTTATTTTTTGCCTATTTTTGCTGTCATAATACTTTCGTTTGTGTTTCTTTCCTTTGCCATTCATTCACTCGCCCATTTACAGAAGCAATCAATAAGACATGCTCTGTACGCTAAAAAAAAAAAGAATAGAAAAAACAAAAATGCAGAGTAGATATTTTAATACAATACATGTGTGCACTTACATGTGCCGCGGATCGTGCGCCAAGCACAGGATCGCCATCACGCCTAAGCCAAAACCCCACTCGTTGGCCGGCAGTAGTCAGCCATCAGCCATCAGCCATCAGCCGCCAGCCACCAGCCATCACCAGGCGGCACTTAATCGTCAAATTGCATATGTGTATGTGT